ATCTAGAAGTGGAAGATACCTCCAAGTCCATCTAGCTCAACTCCCCCATCTTACAAATGAGAAAACTGACATCAAAGGACTTGCCTCAAATCACCTGATTATGTGATATTTGAAACCAGATTCTCTGATTCAAAAGCCAGTGCTCCTTTCTCTGGCTTCATCAATTTAACCTTATTCCAAAAGCTCCTTCTACTATGAACATAAAAATATTAACATCCTCATCAATGAAATAATTCTTCCTAGCAGTTCTGCAAATGATTACATAAAGCTAAAACTTTCTAGAACTACAGCTAGTGGGACTACATTAAAAGCTCCAAGGGGGCCATTAGAATTTTTTGCTTATCTAAATACTTCCTTTTAGATATAAAAAAGTGCCATATTCCCCCAGCTTAATTTCAAAACAAATGTTCAAATTTTTAATAATCAAACAGAAGAGAGTTTTGTTATCGACCTTAATTTAAAATAGAGCCTGTTGTTGAGTTGTGTCTGACTCTTTGTGACCCCATTTGGGGTTTTCTTGGCAGAGATACTGGAGTGTTTGCTATTTTCTTTTCCAGTTCATTTTATAGATGAGGAAACTGAGGCCAACAGGGTTAAGTGATTTGCCCAGGGTCACAAAGCTAAGTAATTATCCGAGGTTGAATTTGAACTCATGAAGATGAGTCTGATTCTGAGCCCAGTGCCCCTCCACTGCACCACCTAGCTGCCTCCAAAAATAGAGCCTAGCATTGCTTTATTTTGTGAAGGGATGAAACAATGATGAATGAATTAGAGAACTATAAAAATGCCACCCAGCAAATAATAAACTAAGTAGACTTCCATAGAAGCTGAAACAGGAATGAGATTTATTCTCTGAATAGTCAGGGAACAAATCATATGGTCTGAAAATATGACTGAAATATATTTCTTATAAAATGTCTTGGCCAAATAAAAGGCACACTTGCCTTTTAATTCAGAAGCTACATCAAATATTTTCAAGGAATTTCATTCAGTGTCCACTAGGAAAAAAAGGTGACATGGATTAGTGGGAAAGCTGCAGCTGAAGTACATTATTCAGGCTATGTCAATTTGAGAAAGTGAAAATTGCTGCCTTGCATAGGAAATATTTTCATTGTTCGAAAACAGATGATCAGAAACACAGAGGTTTATACTAAGCACTTCAGAGGTGTAGATACAGAACATTTTAAGTACAATTTCTGTTAATTGTTGCTTCAGATCAGTATGTGCCAAGAGAGAAAATGTTAAGCTTCAGTAAATGGTCAGCACCAGTGCATCTGAGAAGAAAATTCCGATTGCACATAATATAAATTATATACAAAGAAGATTTCCTTTGGAAGATTCCTAGGTTCAGATTTATGCTCTTTAGGTCTTGGGATAGCAATCTCACGCATGCGCACACACACACACACACACACACACACACTCTCACACACACAAAATCTCTGAAACTTTTACAACCCAAATATTACTAAAAAAAGTGTCAACCAAAAAATTAATATTTCTCTCATAATAATCCAAAACAGTGGTTCTTGATGTGTGTGTGTGTGTGTGTGTGTGTGTGTGTGTGTGTGTGTGTGTGTGATGGACCCCTTTGGCAGTCTGATGACGCCTACAGATCCTTTCTCAAAACAGTATTTTTAAACGTATAAAATAGGTGCACAGTAGAGAGAATTCTAGACTAGGAGACAGAAGACCTAAATTCAAATCTGGCTTCAGCTACTTCCTAGCTGGGTGACCTTGGGCAAGTCACTTAATGATCTCAGCCTCAGTTTTCTCATCTGATGGGGATAATAATTATCTTACCTCACATGGTTGTGAAGATCAAATGAGATATTTGTAAAGTACTTTGCCAGCTTTAATGTGCAAGCTTTAATGTGCAATGTAAGTTTTAGCTATTATTATTAAAATAAATAGGATTAAAAAAGGAACCTATTATATTGAAATAAAGAGGTAGTATTTTTCTCTTCCAAATTCACAGACCTTCTGAAATCTACCCTTGATCTAATGTAATGATCTATGTAATCTCTCACAGCATAATAGAATTTAGCACTTAAAAATGTGATTTGGAACTTTGTAAACAGATGAAAAAGTTGTAGGTAATCAGAATCAGGATATTTAGCAACATATTAAAGTATGGTGATTTTCTCTATTTCTTTGGATTATGATTAAGAAAATGGTAGGTGAAAAACTATATAAATTGTTGCCATTTCTTCTCATATTATGCTTTTGAAGATGAAGAAAAAGTAACATACAACTAGGTCCTCAATTAGTATGAATAAGGAACCTCCTGAAGTAGTTGCACATATTTGAATTCACATTATTTGAAGTTATAATTATATAAAATGTGGTAACTGGTTCCAGCCCAATGGAAATATGCAGTGTGAGTTCAAATAATGTGATCATTTCAGAGCGATTCATCATCCACCCTGATGGGAACCTAACTGTAGTTCTAATCTATGTAATGAAGATTTTTTTTTCACAACTTCAAGAATAAGTCTAAAACTGCATTTTCATAATGGGTCCTTTTTCTATCTAAACACACACACAGAGTACTAAAGTGATGAAAGCAAGCCAAAATCCTAAAAATACACACTCTATGTCCACGTATACTGATTTATATTCAAAAAAGATGGCAGTTTTAAAGCAAGTTGAATTCAGCTCCATGTCTTTAACATCTTGGGAGAGATAGAAGTTGCCACAAAAATTTTGTATCCCTGCTTTGTTTGGATCCATGAAACACAGATTTGGGAACTTTTAGGAGATTGTGTAACAGTAACTGGTTATTAACGCTTATGCCTATTTGTGAGGACACTTTATGAAAAGCATTTACAAGCAGTAAATATTAAATTTGTTCTTTGAGTTCAAATAATGGGCATATCTAAGAAATATAATTTAAATTTTCAACATGCAACAGCTATGAAGCTACATAGAAAGACTGTGTGTACTACACATTCAATTCAATTCATCATTACAACTCAATACAAACAAACTTTTATGGAACCCCTCTTACATGGAAGACACTGTACAAACTGTTATATGAATTTCAAATATATTGTGGAAGTTATTTAAGAAAATGAATAGGTACTACTATTCAACATAAAAACTAATTTCCTGAAGTAATAAAATGGTTTTATCAATCACTCTACATTCCAAGATCATATACCCTTCCTATATAGGGAAACAAACTGCTGGACTGTGGGAAAAGTGACAAATTAGCTGATGTTTACTTAAAAGACACTGACAATACAACTAAATCACTTTCTTTTATACTGTTCAGGAATCTATGTTTGTTCTGCAAATACTTTTCCTGGTGTGATTGATATATTGTCACTACACTAAATTCATATGCTAGATGGGAATTTTAATTCCAGGGTTATAAGCTCCTGTTAGCTGTTTTTGTTAAAAATCACAGACTGCACACTTTGGTTATGAGTGATAAAGTCGAAACTTCACCTGTCTTTATAAAATTGTGCTCAAGATCAGCTAAGTGGTAGATTAGATAGCATTGGACCTGTAGTTAAGGAAGATCTCAGTTCAAATAAGGCCTCACACACTTTCTAGCCGTGTAACCTTGGGAAAGTCATTTAACTTTTGTCTGCCTTAGTTTCTTCCTCTGTAAAATGGGGGTAATAATAACACTTACCTCTCGAGGTTGTTGTGAGGATGAAATAATATTTGTAAAGTGCACTGCAAACTTTAAAGTGCTTTGTAAATATTACCTATTATTATAAATGTTCACAAGCTTAGTCATGGCGTTTTAGGGTTAAGTTATGACCACTAGAGTACAAAGGAATAGGAAAACAAAACTGTATTTACAACAATTTCATGCCCAGATGCTTTCTAAAAATGAAAAAGATTTCTCTGGAATATAAATATATTAAAAGTATTGCTATTTTTTTGATAAGCTACAGGCACCTAAACATCATAAGGACTACTAGACCTTTAGCCGTATCATTTTAACTAAAACTACAGCTTATGTTTTCCTTCCTGTCTTCTTTCCTTCCTCTCCTCCTCCCTTTGTCACCCCCCCATACCCAGAATAATTTCTAAATGCCCTAGTACAATCTGTCACTGAGCAATGCAAACCTAGCTACTTGCAAAAAGTTGTACTCCATCACCTGTTGCTGGAAGAAAACTGCTTTTCATCAAACTATTTAAATATTCCTTGGGATCCTATTTAATTTCTAGTGCTCACTTAAAAAAAACCACTTAAAGCACAACTTTCAGTCAAACTATTCTGTAAAACAATTATTCAGTTGGGAAGAAAATTCTACACTCAAGTTGCAGAAGGTCAATTCCAATTCCAGTCCCCAGAAAGTTCCTCAAGAACCCAACTCTTCCCAAAGATTTCGCCAAGGCAGTTGGAGGCCCCAGGAACTAAACTGGAAACATCTTACAAGTGAGTCTCAGTTATCCCCAAGGGTTTTTACCCCAGCCAGCTGGAGCCTGTTCCGATTGCGGAGCGAAAGCGCTTGGCATATCAAAGCGTACCTTTTGCCCGAGAGGCCCATAGCACTCCCCTCTAGATAGCTGGCGAGCCAGACTTTCCGCCCCACACTGTGGCCTCGGAGAGGGCCTAGGTCGGCCCTGCCCCTCCTGAGCTGCTCCCCCACCTCGACCCCCCAGCTCAACCCGGTCCGCCCCCCCCTCCACTCTGCCTGCGCTTACCCAACAGCTCGGACCGCGGCTGGCCAACCTGAAGCGCGCTGCCCCCTCTCCTCAGCCCAGGGGGGGCTAAGGCCACTTGGACAAGAAGCCAGGCTAAGGCGAGGCTGGAATGTTTGTTATTTTTTTTTCTTTTAATATTTCTTTTTCTTTTCTTTTCTTTTCTTTAATGCAAACTTAACGTTCAAGCCTCAAGCCAGGAGAAGCCGGCTTCTCCTCCTCCTCGGCCATCTCTGCTATCCTAATGTGTGACCGGGCATGGCTGCCCCCACCAAGCGGGTAGCCCTGGCCGGCCAATGCCACGCCCCTGCCACTTCCAAAACTCATCACTTTGGTGGAGGCGGCCCGGGTGGGGGGGAGGTCAGAGGGGCGCACGGCCTGCTTCGCTTCTTTGTGCGTTCTGCGCCTCAGCAGGGACACCTCTCTCCCTACCCTTTGGCCAATGCAGCTTTCTCGGGAAAAGCGGGGGGCTGTTCCCTACCCCCAGCCCAGGAAGCGACCCCACAGTGCCCACAGTTGACGCGGGACTATGGGCAAACTTCTGTCTCTCAGCTCAGCTTCTCTAGAGTGTGTCCCACCGGGGCCAGAGGTGAGTGTGTGAGTGGAACACTAGCTGTAGCCTCGTAATACACCCACACTTAGCCCCGGCTGGCGCCTGGCTTCCACCGTGCATTCTTGCCAGAGCCTCATCCCCCTGGCCGCCGCCCCCGCCCTAGCCCTCTCCATATCCATGTGTCCCCACATGTATTTATAACTGCACTCGGCGTCCATTTCCCTTGTGGGGTCTCTTTCGGCCCCTTTCACACGTGCGCACAGGGCTCGGTGCCCAGCTTAGCTGCCCCAATGTGGCCGCGGGCTGCCCGGTGAAAATTCCGCACTATCCCTCCGTTTGCTTAATCTCCCTTTCTTTTTTCTTGTGTGGTCAGCACAAATCCAAGCTTCCTTGGTCACCTGTCCCGAGAGCAGAGCCCGAGGGGCTTGAGGGGACACAGCCCCCTGCACTCATAAGTGGCTCTTTCCAAACTTTTGGGAGAGCGAGAGAAAGACACCCCCAGCGGGGAAAGCGCATGGGGTCAGGGAGGAGGGGGTGGCCTGCCGCAAGGGCAGTAAAGCAGCTGCCCCACCCTCATCAAGTAACCTAGGGACGCGCTCACATCCTCTGAAGGCCAAAGGTGGGAGTGTTGGTCCAGGAGAGTTTGCAGTAGTCAAGTCCCCATTTAACCTCGCCAAACCAGCCCATAAAAGCCTAATCGGTCACCGACGCTTTTACTCTGGTTGAGGAGTTGCGCCACCCGGTGAATGCCAAGGGGAAACGCTCCTCTGTAAGCCTCGCTCGAGTTTGTTGTCCCAGGGGAAAGAGACTCTAAAGAAGCTATAAATAGCGACAGCCATGCCTGGTTCCCATCAAACACACTTAATTTAGCAGGATAGGCATATGAATTTTTTTAAACCTGTTTATTTGCACGCAAGATATATGAGAAAATGGAACACGGGGTCCGAGGTGATGTAAAATTAGTCACATGTAGATAACTAATTTCAGGTTGATCCAGGTTAGGAGAGAAAAATCAGGATCAAATAAACACCAAGGGAAGTCTTGAAGGAAAAAAGAAACCTACGGAAGCAATATGTATTCATGTATTTGAAAGGGCAGGTGGCATGTGGGGAGGAGAGCAGTTTCAAGGTTTAATTTGGTGTGGGGTACAAGTTAAGAGTATGAGTCCAGTGAGTTTTTTTCCCCCCAGTTTTTGTTTTTCTTTCTCCCATCTATCTGCTTTTCCTCTCCTGAATCATCCTAATGGGTGTTCTGAACTATTTCTAAATAGACTTTGTTCACACTGCAGGGCCAGGTTATTAAACATCCATTTCAGAATGCACTTGGCATTCTCTTGTTTTTCACTTTTTTTAACTAGACTTTATACTTTTCTAATTCACCAGAATCCAGACTCTGAAAAAGCCCCCAAAGGGGCTACTGTAAGCCAAGGCTGGTTCTCTTTCTCAGTGTTTCTTGTAGATAGATTGGTTTGAGACTTTGCCTCAAAAGTTTTTAATTTCATTTGATGATATAATATGTATCTTCTCTTTAACAGGTCTGTCCTATATCATAAAAAATAATAACAATAACTTATGTGTTTATAAAATGCTTTAAAGTCCACAAAACTCTTCATATATATTATCTCAATTGATCATAGTCATTTTAGAACCAGAAGAAACTTTAAGAGATTGTTTTACTTGTCCCAAACCACCCAACAAATTAGTGGCACGGCTGTGGTTAGAAGCCAGGCCTCCTGACTCTCTGTCCTGTGCTCCTCTCCAATCTCCCTCCTTCATACCATACTGTTACCTTTTCTCATGGTGGGCTGGGATTATTGGGTTATCCTGTCTTGCATGAGATAATCCAGGTAAGGTTAATGTATTAGCATAGATGAGATTTGAATGCTGGTCCAACTCCAAATCTAGTTGTCTTTCCAGTCCACCTACTTCTCCAATAGTATCTTGAGGAAATAATTTGGGTAAATAGTTTAAAATTTAAAAAATTAAATAAAAAGAAAGATAATGTAGGCAAGAATTATTTTGTATTTTGGCATGACTGAATGATGATCCTGATAGTTCTGATGTATGGAACTTAGACAATGTAGCCAGAATGCTGTAGGTTCACTGCTCCCAGCTGATTTCTTCCTATGGCTCACCATTTTTGATAGTGATGATACTCACTGTAGAATGGAGGCAACCTGGTCAAAGGGAAAGCACACTGAACTGTCATTAAGATCTCTGCTCTAGTTTTAACACTGTATTAGCTAAATGAATGACAAACAGAATGAAAACTCTTTGAGGTTGTGTAGGAAAAAAAATCCAAAAAAAAATTCCATCTTGTTTTCCTTTTGGGACCTCTGTTATACTCTTTGGGTTCTTTGCTGAAAGTTGGCTTTCTGATGAGCAGAACCATTATCAGGGTAGGGCAAGTGGACTTTGCCCCAGAGTAGGGACATTTAGTTTAACATATGGCCTTTTTAATTAAATATTTTATTAATACCCTTAAAAAATACAATCACTTCCCCAATTACTCCCACAGAACCTACTTTTACAAGGTTTTTTTTTTGTCTCAACAAGTGATTAATACCCCTCAGTGGAGAAGACACTATAACATAAATATTCTTTCACTCTTGCACCAGGTAGAAACAACTGAGATTATTACCTAATTAGCAAGAATGATTAAACTAAGAAGCTACCAGATGGCTCATTGCTGACAAGGACCTTCTTTGCTAGTAACTAATTTCCTTTCCCACTCAGTTTGTTTGTTTTTATAAAAAAAAACCTCATAATTTATAAAAATAAAAAAAGTGAATTTCATGTTTTAAAGTAAAAAATCTTTTGTGTTTTATGTGTGTGAGAGCTGTAGCAAAATTTTAGTTATGAAATAACTGGAGAAACCAAAAAGAAAGATACAGAATTGCAGAAGAAAAATGTCAAAGCTGCACTAACAATATGAATAGCTGGCCAATATTGAACCAACAGTTTCACAACTGGATCATCTCAAAAGCTTTTCAGTCATAGATGAAAATATAGAACAATCTTCAGGTTTCAAACAAAGCTGGTATTGTGACTGAGGTCAAATTACAAAATATAAACTTCAGCACTACTCAATTCAAATTACAAAATCACACCAAAAAGCAAGTAAAAGGAAAGGAAGTAAATTGGTTTCTTTTCTTTCTTTTTAAAAATTAATTATTTTTAGTTTTCAACATTCACTTCCACAAGAATTTGAGTTCCAAATTTTCTCCCCATCTCTTCCCCCCCCCAAGACAACGTGCATTTTGAATACCCCTTCCCCTAATCTGTCCTCCCTTCTATTTCCCTCACCCCCTTCTCTTGTCCCCTTCCCCTTCTATTTTCTTGTAGGGCAGGATAGATTTCTGTACCCCATTGCCTATATATCTTATTTCCTAGTTGCATGTAAAAATAATTTCTAACATTTGTTTTTGAAACTTTGGGTTCCAAATTCTCTCCTTTCCTCCCTGCCTATCTACTGTCATTGAGAAGGCAAGCAACTCTATACAGGTTATACATGTGTAGTCATGCAAAACACTTCCATAATAGCCATATTGTGAGAAACAAACTATATTTCCCTTTATCCTACATTTATTCTATTCTCTCCTTTGACCCTGTCCCTCCTCAAAAGTGTTTGCTTCTAATTACGCCCTCCTCCAATCTGCTCACCCTTCTATAACACCCCCCCCCCTTTTCTTATCCCCTTCCCCCTATTTTCCTGTAGGGTAAGATAGATTTCCGTACCTAACTGAGTGTGTATGATATTCCCTCCTTAAGCCAAATCCAATGAGAGTTAGATTCATTCCTTGCTTCTCACCTCTCCCCTCTTCCCCTCCACAGTAAAAGTTTTTTCTTCCTTCTTTTATGAGATAATTTACCCCATTCTACTTCACCCTTTCTCATTCTCCCAATACAATACTCTCTCACCCCTTAATTTTATTTTTTAGATATCAGCCCTTCATATTCAACTCATGATATGCCCTCTATCTATATGTATTACCTCCAACTACCCTAGTACTGAGAAAGGTCTCATGAGTTACAAATATCATTTTTCCATGTAGGAATGTAAATAGTTCAACTTTAATAAAGCCTTATGATTTCTGTTTCCTGTTTACCTCTTCATGCTTCTCTTGAGTCTTGTATTTGAAAATCAAATTTTCTATTCAGCTCTGGTCTTTTCATCAAGAATGCTTGAAAGTCCTCTATTTCACTTGATGTCCATTTTTTTTTTCCCCTGAAGGGTTATACTAAGTTTTGCTGGGTGGGTGATTCTTGGTTTTAATCTTAGCTTCTTTGACCTCCAGCATATCATATTCCAAGCCTTCTGATCCCAAAGCTGCTAAGTGTTGTGTTATCCTGGTTGTATTTCCACAATACTTAATTGTTTCTTTCTGGTTGCTTGCAATATTTTCTCCTTGACCTGGGAACTGTGGAATATGGCTATAACATTCCTAGGAGTTTTCCTTTGAGTATCTCTTTCAGGGGGTGATCAGTGGATTCTTTCCATTTCTATTTTACCCTCTGGTTCTAGAATATCAGGGCAGTTTTCATTGGTAACCTCTTGAAGGCTCTTTTTTTAAAATTATGGCTTTCAAGTACAATATTTTTAAAATGATCTCTCCTGGATCTATTTTCTAGGTCAGTTGCTTTTCCAGTGAGATTTTTCACATTGTCTTCTGTTTTTTCATTCTTTTGGTTTTGCTTTATAATTTGTTGATTTCTCAAAAAGTCACTATCTTCCAATTGCCCTATTCTAATTTTTAAGGAAGTATTTTCTTCATTCAGCTTTTGGACTTCCTTTTCCATTTGGCTGATTCTGCTTTTTAAAGCATTCTTCTCCTCATTAGCTTTTTGGATCTCTTTTGCCATTTGTGTTAGGCTATTTTTTAAGGTGTTATTTTCTTCAGTATTTTTTTGGATCTCCTTTAGCAAGCTGTTGACTTGTTTTTCATGATTTTCTTGCATCACTCTCATTTCTCTTCCCAGTTTTTCCTCTACTTCTCTTACTTGCTTCTCAAAATCCTTTTTGAGCTCTTCCATGGC